CCGCTGCCGGCGGGGCTCGGGTCGTCGTCGTCGGGGACCGGCGCGCGTGTGCCGCGCGGTCTCCGCGGTGCGGCCGCGGCCGCCGCCTCGCCGGGGCGAGACGGGGACGCGGCCGACCGTTTGTGTGTGTTTGTGCGTGCACCGCGGGCACGGGCGCCGCGCGAGGCGCGGGGCGCGCGCGGACGACGCCGGGACGCGGCGGAGGCCAGCGCCGCCGCGCTCCGGGGTCGAGAGTCGGCGCGCCGGGGGACCTCGTCGCCTGGGCGACGTTAGCGGTCCTTCCGTGCGCGATCCCTCTCTCTCCCGGGCGCGGCGGCGTGGTCGCCGCCGGTCGTCGGAGCCGGCCGTCGCGCGCCCGCGTCCGCGGGCGCCGCGAGCCGCGGTGCCGGGCGGCGGTCGCCGGCCGTCAGGCCGGGCCGCTCGCCCCGCGCAGCCGAGACGGCGCCGCGTGGGCTGCCGCTCGGCGTGCGCTCTCTCTCGCTCTCTAAGAGTCGTTCGGTCCCCAGCCGCTGACGTGCGGGGCGAGTCGGGTCGTGGCGCGAAGTCCGCCGACCCGGGCTCGGCCCCGGGCGTCCGCCGGGCGCGGCGCTGTGGCCGGCCGCGGCGGGACTGCTCGGGCTCCGTGGGCTCGGCTACCGCGGAACGGTAGCGGGAGCCGTCGTTCTGATATCGGTGGGCCGCGCGGTCGGACCGACGGCGGTCGCCGGCTCTCGCCGACGCCCGCAGGCGGCCGCCGCGCGGCGGTGGTGTGTGTTTGCCGGGCCGCGCCCGAGAGCGCGGCGATGGGTCCGTCGCCCCGCGGGAAGCGCGGGCCGGGCAGCCGTGGCTGCCGCGGCGCCGCGCGACCGGCGAGACGAGGCCCTCGGCTGTGCGGTAGTACGGGGACTCGGCGGGCACCGGCCGAGACGTCCGCGCCCCGAGAGGACGGACGTTCCGGCGGGCACACCTACTCCCTTATATAGTGTCGATTTTGTCGGTGCACGGACCCACGTTTTACTCTCGTACCGCTCCCCGCCGACCATAGGCGGTCACCACCTACGGCGGGGGGGGAGGGGGGGGTCAAAAATTTTTTTTCGCTCAAACCCTCCGCTACGGCCGCCCGGTGCGTTGAATAGCACGGGGGCCCCTCCCCTAAGCTCGGTGGGGACTGGGGGGGGGTCGGAATTTTCGATTTTTTTTTTTTTCGCCGATTCGCTCCGGGCCGCCCTCCCAGTGCGTTGAATAGCACGGGGGCCCCTCCCCTAAGCTCGGTGGGGGCTGGGTGGGGGTCGGAATTTTCGATTTTTTTTTTTTCGCCGATTCGCTCCGGGCCGCCCTCACGGTGCGTTGAATAGCACGGGGGCCCCTCCCCCAGGCTCGGTGGGGGCTGGGGGGGGTCGGGAATTTTCGAATTTTTTTTTTTCGCTCTACCGCCGCACAGTGGTCCAAAACGCTAATTTAGCCGGACAAAATTCGATTTTTTTAAAATCCAAAGTAAACCTCGTGTCGTATGCTATTGTACAGTGCCTAAAGCCGGGGGTCCACGCGGAGGTTTTAAAAAAAAAAAAAAAAACGTAAGAAACCACACACGTCCAGACCGAGTTGACGTGAAACCACGACAAATCGTGAACGAAAATTTAAATACTACGTTTGCGTCTCGTCCGTCCGTTTTGAACGGATCGTTTTAAAAAAGTGCTTTTTATATACTGTACGATCTTCTTGGTTCGTTCGTTTTTATTATAGCAATTAAATTGTTTAAATAATTGAAATGTTAACGCGGAAACCGAAAAGAGATGTGTCGAAGACGAGGTAGACTCGTACGGCATTCAAATGTTCTGTCAATATTTCAATATCGGTTTGATAGTTCGTTTCTTATATGTTCTAGTGAAAATATATATATTTTTTTTTAATGATTCATACTCGTTCGCGCTATAAGCACCGTGGTTTTTATTGCACTTACCTGTTTTGAGTTTTATTCGAAATAATTATTAAAACAGAATCGGTGAAAAAAAATTTGTATTTTCTTTCGTCCGTTCAAAAGTTATATTCATTTGTAGAATATATATATATATACATATTATATTGTAGTTCGGCGCCTACATAAAAAAAAAAAAAAATCAAAATTATTTTCCAGCGCCCACCGCCCTCGACCGACCCGGGCGCACGCGGGTACCGAGTAGTTCGGCGCCTACCTAAAACAAAAATAAAAATCAAAATTATTTTCCGGCGCCCGCCGCCCTCGGCCGACCCGGGCGCCCGCGGGTACCGAGGACCGCGCCTGCCGCTCTCGTCGGACCCGCGCGCACGCGGGTACCGAGGTCCGCGGCTGCCGCTCTCGTCGGACCCGCGCGCACGCGGGTACCGAGGTCCGCGGCTGCCGCTCTCGTCGGACCCGCGCGCACGCGGGTACCGAGGACCGCGCCTGCCGCTCTCGTCGGACCCGCGCGCCGGGGGTACCGAGGTCCGCGCCTACCAAAAAAAAAAAGAAATCAAAATTATCTTCCGGCGCCCACCGCCCTCG